AAAGGAGGAGGAAGAGGAGGGACAGTAGACAGGAAGTCATCCTGAACCGCAACAAGTCAACCTGAAACATTCAAATTTTAAATTAAAAGCTGAAACAATCCATCGGTGAGGGGCTGGATTCCAATCAGAGGTCCTGGTTCTGACAGTTTCCTATGGACTCCCCTCCAGTCAGAGGTCCCGCGAGTCCATCAGACCATATCTTTAACACTTTATTCAGTTACATCACATAAATCTATGATTTTCTCACTGTACATCATTTTCATGTTGAAGTGTGCTACAGCTAAGTGACCTCAGTGATCCTGCTCTGACAGTGGAGCCAGCACTTGGTCTCAGTGCACCATATGAGGACTTCTGCAGTGCTCACCAGACTTCCTGTTGGAACTGTACTGTTTCACAGGAGCTCGGCAGACTGAGCCAATAGGCTAGTTCAAAATAAGCCAACTGGTCTTTGAAGCAGGCGCCGCAGTTGCTCTCCACTGGCTGCAAGAGCTCAGAGCATGCTGGGAAACGTCTGGTTCTCACCTGATCTGAGACCCAGTTGGTTTAGATGTTGGAACAACAACATGGCATTTCATAGAAATGTATCGTTTCTTGTATAATCACAGTGATTGTGATCCCACCCTCCCTGACACTCTGAATAGTTTCTTTGCATGCTTCAATACACCCGGCAGCAGAGGAACTGTACAACTCCCTCAGCTCGAGGAACAGCACCAGCCCCTTGTCCTGCAGCTACACCAGGCGAGCTCCACCCTGAGGAGGATCAACAACAACAAAGCTGCAGGACCAGACAAGGTGTCAGGCTGGGTTTTGAAGCTATGTGCTGACCATCATTGTGCCTGTGCCCAAGAACTCAGCTGTCACCTGCCTCAATGATTACCGCCCTGTTGCTCTGACACCAGTAATTATGAAGTTCTTTGAGAGGATCATTCTAAAGCACATCAAGGATGTCATCCCTGTTGGTCTGGACAGCCATCAGTTCCCCTACAGAGAGAACCAATCAACAGAGGATGCTGTCTCAATAGCATTACACATAGCCCTGTCCCACCTGGAGCATCCTAACACTTATGTCAGGGTGCTCTTTGTTGACTTCAGTTTGGCATTTAATACTGTAATCCCAGACAAACTGGTACTGAAACTGCACAATCTGGGAATGCCTGCAATGATGTATCATTGGATTAAGGACCTCCTCACCAACAGGCCTCAAGTGGTGAGAATCGGAAGCTGCACATCATCCACACTGGGTCCTGAACACAGGCACACCACAGGGCTGTGTGCTCAGCCCAGTTCTCTTCACTCTGTTTACCCATGACTGTGATGCCATTCACCCCACAAACACAGTAGTGAAGTTCGCAGACGACACCACCGTAGTGGGTCTCGTCTCAGACAATGATGAGACTCACTACAGAGAGGAGATCCAGCACCTGACAAGGTGGTGTTCAGATAACAATCTTGTCCTGAACACCAACAAGACTAAGGAAGTCATTGTGGATTATAGGAGGTCCAGGAAGACAAAATATGCTCCTCTTCTCATACACGGGGAGGTGGTGGAGCAAGTGGATAACATC